CTGCAATGGCCGAACGTCAGAAAGCAAAAGATAGAAAATTAGTAACTCTTATAGCAAATATCGTTCGATAATGGACACATACTTAAAACCATTTAGGGGATAAAAACAAAAACAAATCAGCATATTAATGTGTTGTGTACGAACTCTTGCTAAATGATACAACGCAGCCAAGGCCTGGATTCCGGCCTAGTCTGGCAGGTGTTTGCAAGCAGTTGCTTTGCTGGAAGCAATGATTAGTTTACTGTGACAGGTGCTTGGGACAGTTTTATTTAAACATTTCTTGCTTTAGACACATATTTACCTCACAAATATTCACCTCAGCCCACAAAAATATTCCAGAATACTTCTGCAATCATTGGGGGAATAATCAGATTTATTGGCACAATAATCTAGGTTTTGTCAGAGTAACTTCAGCATTGATTTACCTGGAGCACTAGGAAACATTGCTTGTGTCTTAAAACCTGAACTATGGGCAGATGTAAAAGACACACATTCATTCAGTTGTGCAATTATTAACCCCTTCCCGTGCCTTTAACAGGGTCTTTATATTGGGGTAGGGAAGGATTGCCCGATCACATGAGTGCTGTGATTTTATGTCTCAGCATGCAAGTGTACAATTCAAACGCATATGTTCCTGCGTTAAAAATGGCTGTGTGTATAAGTGGATGCTGCAGCGACCGTTGGCTGGAACCAGACAGAATCATCAATCAGCAACCCGAGGATCACCAATATGGGTCCAAATGTTTTAATGACCGATCACATAGTTACAGCAAGGCAATGTTTCGGAGTCTCACAGGACCCCTTCATCAGGTCACATGCCTGATGAAGGGGTCCTGCCAGACTCTGAAATGTTGCCTTTCTGTAACTATGTGATCGTTCATTAAAACATTTGGACCCATATTGGTGATCCTCGGTGTGCTGGTGACATTCTCCCTTTATATCTCAGCAGTCACATGATCGTGAGCCGGTCCCACTGGCTCCTTATCTTTAGTTGTCCATGACAGCTTGGTCACTGTGCTGAGAGTGTGCTCTTGTAAAACCTTGGCCAACTATGGACGCATATGTGCAGCGTGTGGATGTAAACCCACCAGCGTAGGGATCAGAGGGGTGGGCTTATTAGTCTTCTGCTGTTCTTTCATTTTTCAATTAGCAGTTCACAGATGGAAAGGTGGATTTTTAAAGCTGAACTCTAGTAATAATCTATTTTTAAAGTCTGTATTGGGTTAGCTTAGTCACCTATATTTGTCATAGGTCACATCTGTAGGGCTGCATGGGAGTCTAAAATTCACCATAATATTCTGTTCCGATGGTGCCAAAGCAACTTTTTCAGTGGCTACAAGGTGCTCTCTGATTGGATGAAGTCCAATCAATGGATGCCTTGTATTCAATTAAAAGAATATAAAAGGTTTTCTGGTGGTGGAAGTGCCTAATCAGTGACTTTGTAAGCTTTGGTCCACACTATGAACCGCATGTAAACCACACAGGAACCACACCTCATTCCTGTGCAATTCACAAGCGATTCAGTGCGGTGTGTTTTGAGCTCATTCATTTATGGGTTCAAATTGTGCTGCATCACACCAAAGATGTGCATGCACCAATTTTGGAACTGCACTACACTTAAATCACAACTGTGTACCATGCAAACCGGTGTAATCCAGTGCAGACAAACACATTGCGTTTGCGACCTGCATTTGGGGTGTCTTTAAGATAGCACTGACACTCGTTGCAAATCACAAGGGCAGTGTGATTGGAATGTGGTGTGGGAAATGTGCATGGATCATGGATTACAACATTAGCATGAATTCTTCGAAGACATGCTGGTAGGTTAATTGGCTTCTGTCTAAATTAGCTCTAGTATGTATGTGACCGTGAGTTAGGGACCTTAGATTGTACAATCCTTGAGGAAAGGGACTGATGTGAATGTAATGTAATAAACATGACATAATGTAATAATCATGTAATAAACATGTAAAACACTGCATACATTGATGGCGCTATATAAGTGCCTGTAATAAATTAAAAAAAAAAAAAATAAACTTAGGCTTAGCGTCCTAAAGCCCCCTGAGATGTATGACCTGGCCCCCTGATGATGTGTGGCTGCACATGCATATGAGCTCTAGATTGCTGGAGGCTACATCACTCCCACCTATGTGAGAAATATGGAAGTGCAGAGAGAGCAACTTAAAAAAAGTGAGAAAAAAATGCAATTGTGACAGCTGCGGTTGTAAAGAACAGGCTTTAAAAAAGTTAAAAACAATGAGGTGAAAGGTCTACGTAAAGTTGGTATGTATAATAATTTTAGTAGCCCCTGATTTTAAAGCAATATCCATTTTTTTTATGTCAACTCCACCCAAAGTTGATTTTTCATTTTGCCTTGCTGCTAGTTATAAGATGAACAGTGCACAAGTGTATTATGTCTGTTTGGTATTCCAGGAATATTTTGCCACAAGCGGCTTGAGTGATGCGGTACAAAAATGAGGCAGGTGATTCACGTCACCACTGCCCACCCAAACTTAAATATCTCTTTTGAATGCAGTTGCCCATCAATTAGACTGCTTCCCTTAATCATTGGGCTTAGTAATTATAAGCTGTAGTTAATTTGATTGAAGGATGTGTAGCATGTATGCTGGGGAGAAGGACTTTGCATTTTTATCCTTGAATGGGGTGACAGCTTCAGCTGCCCATTTGGCTTGACACGAGACCAGATGTACAATGAAGGTTATGACTTGGGCTCATGGAGGGTACTGGCAGAAACACTCCTGAGCATTCAGCTATTTCTCTTCCACAAATTTGTTTGACTGAAAGACACTTAAATAAAGATGAAAACATCACAGAAGGCTGGAGATTTTTTGGTTATGGATCTAAGTCATTTTTGACACCAAATCAAAGAGTCAGCTTTAGACATGGAACCAATCCACCCTCACCCTCTGCTACAACACAGCCGTCACTTGTGCCATCTGCAATCTGTTATTGCAAGTTTGAAAAGCCCCCTTATCATACATTGACATTCTGTATCATTTTATGACTATTTGTTGTGCGTGGTCTGCTGTTATACCATCGCAACACCTTATTTTCTCATTTGCCTTTCACAAAACTGCTTGCCAATTATTTTGCAGAGTGGAATGCACTTACAGTGGTAGCGGTGAAGTGGGTATCATTCTGGAGAGATATAGCCAGCTAGAGGGTCCTAATCCCTCTTTTAAAACATGTCATTTACATAAGAAGCTAGCATATGTTACCTAATTTATTTTCAAATGAAGTGCTGATTTATGTATTGCTTTCGGCATTCTTGGCCATGTCTAGGCTGAGCTGGAGAAATTGGAACAAGTGGAGAAGCAACTGTTTGCAGAGTTTTACTGTATGCCAGTTTTGTGGCATAATTAAGGAGCGTTAGATTCAGTCTGTAGGTGATTGTAAATCTAATCCGCGGTTCACCTAGCAAATATAAACTCATTTTTTTGTTTGTTTTTGTAAGAAAATCACAAGAGATAAGTAAAGTACTCTGCAACCCATTCTGACAGTTTAGGATCTGCAAATGATTTTGTGTAATGGGACTTTTTTTATTATTTTAAAAACATTCCATATTCTAAAAGTGAACTGGTAATGGTATCACCTTTGGAGCTCTCACCAGTTTCTCGCCACAGTCCTGGTGCCCATTCATACTCTCTGATCTACCTCCATTCTCCTACCTCCATTCTCCAACACACACACACACACACACACACACACACATATTTTTGTTATGCTAGAGATGATGGCAGTCTTGGCATGGCTGTGAATGTCAGTTAAACATAAAATATCAGTAGTGTTTGAACACAGATTATTTCCTTTGATCATCTTGAGCAGTGGTCTTCTAACTGTGGCCGAGGGGGGATGGATACAGCCCTTTTCTTGCCTTTTTTGGCCCTTGGGCACTATTACTCCCATCGACACCAATGATGGAGCACTATTCTTCCCACTGACACCAACATTGGGGCATTATTCCTCGCACAAACACCAATGATGGGGCACTATTTCTCCCACTGACACCAATGATGGGGCACCATTCCTGAAACTGACACCAATGATGGGGCACTATTCCTCCCACTGACACCAAAGATGGGGCAAAATTCCTCCCACTGACACCCATGGTGGGGCACTATTTCTGCAACTTGCCTTTTCTTGCCTTTTTTGGCCCTTGGGCACTATTACTCCCATCGACACCAATGATGGAGCACTATTCCTCCCACTGACACCAACATTGGGGCATTATTCCTCGCACAAACACCAATGATGGGGCACTATTTCTCCCACTGACACCAATGATGGGGCACCATTCCTGAAACTGACACCAATGATGGGGCACTATTCCTCCCACTGACACCAATGATGGGGAACTGTTCCTACCACTAACACCAACAATGGGGCACTATTACTTCCACTGACACTGACAACGGAGCATTATTCTTCCCACTGATACCAAAGATAGGACATTGTTTACTTCCACTGAAGCCAGAACATATTCTTCTCCCAGTGACCACACTCCAAAGTCCAAAGGACAGTAAACTAGGACCATTTTTAGGAAAGTTTGGAGACTCCCTGAGCTTGAGCAAGGGTGGGATTCTACTTAGCTAAACTGTTCCAACTGCAAAAAAAAATATTTAAATTATATCTGTTTTGAATAAAATGAAAAAGGGTCCCTATCTCTATCCCTGTTGGGAAAATGTGTCCCTTTTAGTTCTGATAGTCACCATCATCACCAAGACTGATGGGAAAATCAAAATTTTAAGTTGACACTGGAAGGGAAATTTTCCAAGGGGACTGCTGCTCCACTGACAAATGGATCTGTCTTCACTATGGAAAGATTTTATACCATGGTGTCTCCATGGTAGGAAATGAAGGTAAATATTCCTAGTGGAGACCACAACTCTGCCCAAAAAGATGGCTTTAAATACACATGAAAGATGAACAGCTAACTGTTGTTTTTTTTTTTTAATTTATTTACTGTAACATACCTAACTTGTAGTGTTGCAATGTTAATTCTGAAGATGTACATATGAATATACCTCACTTTGTCGTTACAGTGCTTCGAGATGACTTTCGACTAAACCCTACAGATGTGGTAGTGGCAGCTGGGGAACCCGCCATTTTGGAATGTCAGCCACCCAGAGGACATCCTGAGCCAACCATATACTGGAGGAAGGACAAAGTTCGGATAGATGACAGAGACGAGAGGATTAGCGTAAGTAGTCTGGCCTCTCTACAAAACAGATATATGTAGATGTAATATACAAACGCATTTGTGCACTGTTGGCCCACCTAAAAGTAAAAGAAAGCCACATTTATGAAAGTGTCTGAGGGAGGAGCCTTAACTGAGTTTTATTCCTACAGGAAGAAAGACTCTGATTGGCTGTTGTGGGGCAGCACAGATTTTTTTCTCCTACATAAAGTTTTACAAATGTAGCCCATAATTCAAAGAGTTTGCTGAGACCTGTAGTAACCAATCACAGATCCATTTTAGCAGCTTCAAGCTGAACTCCAGGATATTGACAAATATTGTCTAAGTTCAATAAGCATGTGCATTGAATCCTGTGCTGCATTTGTTTCTTCCAGATATGTGCAGTAATCCAGTGGAAAAATGTACCTCTCAGCAGGAGCCTTCAGTATTAAAGACTGGTCAATTCTGCTCTCTTTTCTTGTGCAGGGTGACTGGTCCTGTCTCCATCCCTGTCCTGTAGTTTTCTGCAGGCAGCCTGTAGTGGGTGGAGCTTCTGGGCCCCTCCCACAGCTCTGCTTTATGCACTGACTATGTACAGCACAGTGCTGATGTAACTGCTGCTTTTACAAGGTAATAGCTGGGTTTGTAAAGGTGTTTGGGGCACACGAACTGCATTTATATCTATTTTGTGCCTGGAGTTCAGCTTTAATCAAGTCTGATACAAATAAATTGATCTTTGAATAATTGATGCATCCCATTGCTTTATCATCATAAAGTAATAATTAAAGTATAATGTATTTTAATCAATTAAATATTATTTATTTCAGGTACTTATATAATGCCATCCATTTACGCAGCGCTTTACATATATATCATACATTCACATCAGTCCCTAACCCTCAAGGGGTGTACAATTTAAGGTCCCTAACTTTCATTCATACTTATACTAGGGCCAATGTACAGTAGAAAGGATCCAATCAACCTACCAGCATGTCTTTGGAGTGTAGGAGGAAACCGGAGTACCACGCAGGCACAGGGAGAACATGTAAACTCCAGGCAGTTGGTGCTGTGATTGGGAATCGAACCTACGACCCTAGTACTGCCAGGCGGAAGTGCTAACCATTTAGCCACTGTGCTGCTCTGACATTAATTAAATGTTTTTATTTCTTGCACCATAATATACGAATGTGTAAGTGGTGTGGATGCACGGCATTGCAGTGACCTTTCCCATTACCTTACTCCCCCCTCTTTTCCCAGGCTCTTCCTCTCCCCTGCCTCCCCCTTTGTTTTCCTTCTTAATCCACTTCAGTTCTTCATCCTCCCTTTTCTCCCACCTCTCTATTCCTCCTCTTTTTTCCAACTATTTCCCGAGCTTATGAGGCATAAATACTGACATCCTGCTCCACGATTCCACCTCTTTGACAAAGCCCCGGGGTAGGTTAAAGTGCTTGAGAGGGTCTGGCCTGGGAGGAGCTAAGGCTGAGGCTGCTCTTCATCTGAGATTGGGAGTGAAGGGTGAAGTGCCTGCACACCACTTACACAAGTGATGGAGCATTTGAGACTCACATTATTGTGGATCAGGGAAGCAGGGACCTTGGTGCTATAGATCTGTGCTCCAAGGTATTTAACCACTTGAGCCCCAGAGGATTTACCCCCCTTAATGACCAGGCCTTTTTTTTGCTGTTTGGCGCTGCACTAATTCAAATAATAATTGCGCGGTCATGCAATGCTATACCTTTTTTTTGCTATACAGCGCTGCACTAACTCAAATGATAATTGCGCGGTCATGCAATGCTGCACCCAAACGAAAAATTACGTCCTTTTTTTCACATAAATAGAGCTTTCTTTTGGTGGTATTTGTTCACCTGTGCGCTTTTTATTTTTTTCGCGCTATAAACAAAAAAAAACCACAAAAATTTTGAAAAAAAACAATATTTTCTACTTTCAGCTATAAAAAAATATATCGTAAACTCAAAGTTAGTCATAAATTTAAGCCAAAATGTATTCTGCTACATGTTTTTTTGGTAAAAAAAATCCCAATAAGTGTATATTGATTGCTTTGTGTGAAAGTTATAGCGTCTACAAACTATGGTATAGATACTGTAATTTATGCCTTTTTTTGCTATACAGCGCTGCACTAACTCAAATGATAATTGCGCGGTCATGCAATGCTGCACCCAAACGAAAATTACGTCCTTTTTTTCACACAAATAGAGCTTTCTTTTGGTGGTATTTGATCACCTGTGCGCTTTTTATTTTTTGCGCTATAAACAAAAAAAACAACCACAAAAATTTGGAAAAAAAAAAAACAATATTTTCTACTTTCAGCTATAAAAAATATATCGTAAACTCAAAGTTAGTCATAAATTTAAGCCAAAATGTATTCTGCTACATGTTTTTGGTAAAAAAATCCCGTGCATTAGCGGGCAAACTGGCGCTATCTAGGAGGGGCGCTAACACTATCGGAAGTCACCAGTGACACTAATACAGTGATCAGTAAAAAATCTGTTCACTGTAATCAATGACACTGGTGACAGGGCAGTGAAGGGGTTAACTGGGGGGGGGGGAGCGATCAAGGGGTTTAAATGGGATTTCTGGTGCACTAGCGGGCAAACTGGCGCTATCTGGGAGGGGCGCTAACACTATCGGAAGTCGCCAGCGACACTGATACAGTGATCAGTAAAAATTGGTTCACTGATCAGTGACACTGGTGTGACAGGGCAGTGAAGGGGTTAACTGGAGGGGGGGGTGATCAAGGGGTTAAACGGGATTACTGGTGTACTGGCGGGCAATCTGGCGCTATCTGGGAGGGGCGCTAACTCTATCGGAAGTCGCCAGCGACACTGATACAGTGATCAGTAAAAATCGGTTCACTGATCAGTGACACTGGTGACAGGGCAGTGAATGGGTTAACTGGGGGGGGGGAGATTAAGGGGTTAAATGGGATTACTGGTGTACTAGCGGGCAATCTGGCGCTATCTGGGAGGGGCGCTAACACTATCGGAAGTCGCCAGCGACACTGATACAGTGATCAGTAAAAATTGGTTCACTGATCAGTGACACTGGTGACAGGGCAGTGAAGGGGTTAACTGGGGGGGGGGTGATCAAGGGGTTAAACGGGATTACTGGTGTACTGGCGGGCAAACTGGCCCTATCTGGGAGGGGCGCTAACACTATCGGAAGTCGCCAGCGACACTGATACAGTGATCAAAAAATTGGTTCACTGATCAGTGACACTGGTGACAGGGCAGTGCAGGGGTTAACTGGGGGGGGGGGTGATCAAGGAATTAAACGGGATTATTGGTGTACTGGCGGGCAAACTGGCGCTATCTGGGAGGGGCGCTAACTCTATTGGAAGTCGCCAGCGACACTGATACAGTGATCAGTAAAAATTGGTTCACTGATCAGTGACACTGGTGACAGGGCAGTGAAGGGGTTAACTGGAGGGGGGGGTGATCAAGGGGTTAAACGGGATTACTGGTGTACTGGCGGGCAAACTGGCGCTATCTGGGAGGGGCGCTAACTCTAATCGGAAGTCGCCAGCGACACTGATCAGTAAAAAATCGCTTCACTGATCAGTAACACTGGTGACAGGGCAGTGAAGGGTTAACTGGAGGGGGGGGGGGTGATCAGGAGGTAGTGCTTGTGTACTCACTTTTTGGATGTCTTCTTCTCTGTCTGGAACGGAATGTGTCCAGGCAGAGAAGAATGACATCATATCCTGCCCTGTGTATGTCAACACAGGACAGGATAGGACAGGGACCGATCATGTGATTTCAGAAATCACTGGCTGAAATCTAATGATTGATCCCTCCTGGATCAAATAGTGTCACCCGCGGGTCGGCGGGAGCGCGCGCGCGCGCCCCCTGCCGGCGAAAGTGTCGGGAGCGCGGAACCCGTTTTTAAACGTGGTTTTGCGCTCCACTGCCGCCATGCACACGTATATACACAGTGGCAGGACGGCAATCGGTTAATACACAAATGTTTCATTTTAGTTTTTTCACTATTGGTATAGAATATTTCCTTTATTTTTTTTATTACGTCTACTCTTACTTCAGCCTCCATGTAAAAAAACTGGATTTGAAACCTTGATCTTACTAGCTAGATGCAAATGAACTAAACATGCTCAGTATTTCATATTTATCTATGTAAAAAAAACGTTTTATTCTTGAACGTAAAAAATAAAATATCTACAGAAAACATTTATGGTTTCCTTTCATCCTTCCGGATGTAGAGATGTTCATCTCTTCTTGTAGGACACAGACAATAGTGTTGGGCTTGATGTTTGAGTTGAACGTAAGTTGACTTGAACATCGACCGTCCGTGTGATCGGCAAACATACGAACGGTAAGGGCTGCCACGCCACACAATGCACTGTGCTCTGACTTCCAGAGGTCAGGTGCAATGCTTTGGCCAATCACAGCACACAATGACAGCAGGCACAGCTGTCAGATGGCCGGGAGCCAGCATCGATCCTTTTTTTGGGGGGATTCGTGGTGGCGGTGGGCATCGTGATTGATGTTGGATCTACTTCGGAGAACATTTATTTATTTATTTAGTTTTTATTTAGTTGTTTTAAATACAGGACTTGTCAAAGGCTGTCTACTGTCATTTTTTACAAGAAACTTTTTTTTTGTGAATGAGTAGCGGTGCCATGTACTCATTCACTTGTTAAAGGGGGCTTCCAGACTCTGATAAGCCCCCTGCCCGCAAACCCCCACGACCCCATCAACTTGCTTTGGGGGGGCCCCCCTGCCCCAAAACACCCCCCATGTTGAGGGCATGTGGCCTGGTATTGTTCAGAATGCAAGGGAAGCTCACTCGCCCCCCCTTTCCTGACCTGCCAGGCTTCATGCACGGATAAGGGTCAATTATGGATTTTGGGGGGACCCCCATGACATTTCTTTTTAATTTTGGCACGGTTGTTCCCCTCAAAATCCATACAAGACCTGAAGGGCTTGGTATGGATGGGGGGACCCCACGCCAGTTTTTTTTTTTTTTTTTTGCAAAATTTCATGACAGCTGAAACATTAAAGCATGTTTTCACTACTAAAATACCACATGACTTAATAAAATAGCTTATGCGGTATTTTAGTAGGTTTTTTTTTTAAATGTTGTGGTATCTTACCACATACTCGGATGCGGTAAGATACCACTTAGTGAATTGTCCCAGTTCGAAGTTCACAGTCGAACTTTCGTTAGGTTTGAATGTTCGACCGCGATCTGAACAGGGAGCCTTTGGCCCAACACAGAGAATTGTCATCTATGATGATGCTACTGGGTGCCTGTTAAAGTGAACCTTTTAATAGCTCTCAAATGTTGAAAGGCTTCAGCAGGCCTTTACTTCTATTGGATGTGTGAACACAGCCAAGAATATTGTAGATACTAGGATTTATGTGACTGTGTCCTCTCCAAGCCAGCATCTTAGTCTACGGCCTGTGTCAATTACCTTTTGTTCTTTTCAACCAGGTCAAATGAAGGTCAGAAGTAGGTCAACCACAGATCAGTAAATTCTAAATGATATCAGAAGCATCTTAGTCTGATATGATGCTGATACCATCAACACAAGCCCAAAGACCATCTACATTAGCCCTTATACGCTGATCAGTTATTACTTTTTGACCACACAACTAATACTGAGTAGGTCCCCCTTTTTCCACCAAATCAAACCTGACCCACCAAGGCATGGACGCCATTAGACCTCTGGAGCTATGGTATCTGGCACTAAACCATCAGAAGCAGATCCTTTAAGTTCTGTAAGTTGCCTCCATGGATTGGATGTGTTTTTCCAGCACATCCCACAGAAGATCAATTAAATTGAGATATGGAGAATCTGGTGGCCAAGTTGACACTGACATTGACACTTGCAAAGTGGCAGGGTGTATTATCCTCCTGAAAGAGGTCACTACCATCAGGGAATACATTTTCCATGAAGAGGTGTACTTGGTCAGCACTCAGCAGCAATGTTTAGGTAGCTGGTACTTATCAAAGTAACAGCCACATGAACAGCAGGGCCAAAAGTTTCCCAGAGCAACATTGCCCAAAACATCACACTGCTACACCATCTTGCCTTCTTCCCATACTGCATCCTAGTGCCATCTCTTCCCCAGTAAAATAATGCACACACACATGGCCTTCCATTTGATGTAAAAGAAAACATGACCCATCAGACTAGGCCACCTTCTTCCATTGCTTCGTGGTCCAGTTCTGATGCTTTTGTGCTCATTATAGGTGCTTTTGGCTGTGGACATGGGTCAGCATGAGCACCCTGACCAGTCTGCGGCTATACAGCCCACTACAGAATAAACTGCAATGCCCATGTTTTCAGCCTCCAACACATCAACTTCAGGGACAACATGTTTACTTGTTGCTTAATATATCCTCATGACTTTCAGATGCCATTGTAACGAGAAAATCAATGGTATTCACTTAACCTGTCAGTGGTCATAATGTTATGGCTGATCAGTGTACTTACAGATGACTTTGCATGCATGCACTTAACGAGACAAACATTTCTGTTGTTAGGACCACTTTATAGTACTCAGCAGTGATAAATTATACCCAAAAATTCCAAGATGCCTCCACTTGGGGGTGGCCTGAGAGACCTGTAGAAGTGAATGCACGCTGTAATGAACATTTTTTTTAAACTGTGTGCTTTCTTTTTTATTCCCATTCAAGATTCGAGGTGGAAAGCTGATGATTTCGAACACAAGGAAAAGTGATGCAGGAATGTACACTTGTGTTGGAACTAATATGGTGGGAGAAAGAGACAGCGACCCGGCAGAGCTGACAGTGTTCGGTAAGCTATTTTCTTTCCTCTTTACATTTAGATGCATGTATTTTTTTTTTTTTTACTGTAAAATCACAGCTAACTGCACGTTATCATTCTAAGCTAATTGCCAGAACTTGGTGATATTTGCTGGGAAGTATCTTCAGTGGCAAGCAGAGGTGTCAGTAATGCAATAAACATGGTTGGCAACAACAAATGGGTTGTTCACAGCCTTCTGGATACACACAAATATTTCTATCAGTCACTGTGATGTGAATAAACAGGAAAATACACAGCTGTAATAAACAGTTAATGTAATGCAATTAAGTAGCGCAAAAAGCAATGATAATAAGTAGAGTTCGATTACAAAACATAAATAAATAAATCTCCCCGTTTACATATGTGTTTCGCGTTAACGCACACATATTAATGTTTGTGATGTTACATGTTAACGTGCTTTGCAATAAGACAGCCATTTGAAACTGGGTGAATTTAATGGGCTGCCAACACACCCCAATTGTGCCTAAACCGCACATGGGCTTTTTTTTATAACGCAATAATGTGCAATGGTATGTGCTATAACTCAGGTGCCTTAAAGTGCATTGTGGTTGCATGTTACCCAAATCAGAAGTGGATATCTGGCCTTAAAGTATATTTAAAACCATAAATATAATCACCCAACTCAATGCTATAGACATACAATACCCCAAAAATATTAATACAATGTGCAATATCACTGCACCACAATATAACAATAAAAAAGGCGCTGTGAACATAAAATGTGCATTATAAAAAATAAACACCATGGTAAAAACCAATGTGATCAGGTGTATGACAAATAAAGACTAGTCCATCCTGCCGAAAGTTCAGTCTTTCCACCTTGAATGAAAAGTGCTTCAGTGCTCAAATAAAGATTAGTCCATCCTGCAACAGTTTTAAAGTAGAACTATAGGCAAAACCTTTTTTTTACATTTTGGATAGAGCAAGGGAGGTTATAACCCCAGTTGGATTTTTTTTTCGCCATCTGTGTCCCATTGCAGAGATTTCCCTTCACTTCCTGTCTCATTGCCAAACAGAAAGTGAGAGGAAATCCCTGAAATATAGGGAAATTCTTTGGGGACCCCCAGGTCACCTGAACTAGTGTTCCCATTGGAATTACTTTTCTAGGAACAACCCAAAATTTGGTATTTTATTTTACTTTCACTATCAAGGATAATGGTACATTATCATGGACAAAATATTGGACAAATAGAGAGGATGAAAGTTTTGATTTTAGCAATACTTTATATAAACTTCTCAAGAAAGTTCACAAAAGATCTTTCTTGAGAAGTTTATTTAAACCTGTTGATGGATGGACTAATGTTTATTTGAGCACTGGACCATTTTTCATTCATGGTGGAAAGACTGAACTTTCAGCAAGATAGACTAATCTTTATTTGTTGTACTCCTGGACAAATTGGTTTTTACAGTGGTGTTTATTTTATATAATGCTCATTTTATGATCGCAATGTCAGTCCAACCGAAACCAATATTTCAGTTTTTGGTAGATGGTGGAGAGTTTAATCAGCCTTTTTATCTCTTGGCCACCCAACCCAAAGCTCCTATATTGACTGCAACAGGGCTGAGATGTATGGCGTGGTTACCTCACTGTTGAATATCCAAAGCATATAGTATACTGTGTGAATCCAGTACCTGACGTAGCCTACCAGACTGAAGCTATAACTAAAATATCCCTTTTAAGTGGACATTTGTAAATATGGTTGCTCTTGTTTATGTATATTATAAAAATGTACAAAAATGAAAGCACTTTTGAGAGTTGCACATTTCATTACGATAAACATTACATATTAATACATGTTATTAAATAAACCAATGTATGTTTTATCTGTATTTGACTGACTCCCCCAATCTGTCTAACAGTATCTAACAATGTTCAATTCTCAGTGCTTCATAAGGGAGACTTTTTGGTTAGTTCTGCTTGCTATTTTCGGTTAATTATCCTTGTTATTTTGTGATACATTTTAGTGCCTTTTTAAATTATATGATATAACTATCAATTACTACTAGTATCAATTATTAGATGTATAATGTGTATGTTTATCAAGGTGCAATGATCAAAGGGCTCTGCTTCTAAAGTCCTTGTTCAAGTATATGGGTAATAAACAACATACTATATAACCTCACAGCGAGCAGGGCTGAAGAAGTGTCAGTGGCATCCACCATTAAGTGGTGTTACTTCAAACACCAGTCAAAATGTTCTTGACAGACTTAGAAAAATCGATACGGATAAAAGAGCTGGAGAAAAATGAAGTAATCCTTCAGACAGCAGCAAGATGGTATACATTATACCAAGAATCTATTTCGCCCTGTCTCTGGGTACATTGCTAGAAAAATATGGATAATCCTTCCACATCCAGTTCTTAAAATGTCATACAGATCAGCTATTCAGTGGGTTCAGTATAGTTTCACTGTAAAGCACATATGGCTGGAGGTATAAAATTCTTACTAAAACTATAAAACACTATTAAAAATGTATGTATATAAACTTCCCAACAAGTCAACTACTGATTGACAAAAGTACTGTATGTTATCCACATATTTTTTTCCTATTTTGTGGAAGTAATTTAAGCTGAAATGTTGATACATGCACTGGCAGCCTAGTGGTAATGATTTAGATATTGGGTCCATTTCCTAGCCACTTATGCTCTATAAGGTGTATGGAGAACAGTTGGTGGACATTGGAAGTATCAGCAGGCAGCCTTCACCTGGATAAGGTGGACAGAAGGCAACATCAAGGAAAAAAGTGCTGTACTGGCCGTGGCAACACCATCATAGTAATCACTCCCTGGTGTTTTAATGCATGAAAACATATGGCTGCAAAGGTCCACTGAGGTCTATTGATATTGTTAACATGGCTGCTATTTTTAATACAAGCCTTCTAATGACAATATCGATTTTAGCTTATATCACACTGCCTTTTTTGGTTAACAGGAAATGCAGTTAACAAGGTGTGTATTCTTTGCTCTATAGTACATTAATGGCTACTGGTTCAATTATCTCAGAATTCATTAATGGCTACTAGTTCAATTACCTCAGTATTCATTAACCTATTCTGCCAACATTGTAAAATTCAGTTTGTCTCCTAAACTGTTAAGAATGAACTACAACTAAAGTACAATCCCAAGTATCAGATCTTTTATTAAAAATCATCTGTCTTTATCTAGGAAAGTAGACCTATACTTAACATCTAAATGTTGGCTAACAGGGATACATTAGCACAGCTTAGTGTAACAAAGCTTTTGCCAAATGTTGCATGTTTAACATGTATTTCCTGACTGGAAGCAAAAATGGGGAAAACGGGGAAGAATCCGTTTTTCTCAGCAAGGGATCTGCCCACTAACTCCGAGCAGAACAGAGCAGAGTGGTTGGATGACAGGTCCTTGTCTTTTCAGTTTGTGCAGAGCAGACACAGACATAGCCTGCTTTTTCTCTATGGGAGGCTGGGTGTAAATGGACCAGCTGTCCATTTGCACCCAACTGTGCTCTGATTCACCTAGACAAAAGGGGACAGATCCCCTTCCATTTCTTTTTAGTGGAGCAGATCAGATTAGAGGTAGGCAGGTGTAAATGGACACAAGTCCGTTTTCCCCCTCTGGTCAATAGAGATACATGGACCAACTGTCCATAGCACATTCCTGCACAGCATTTAAAATTAATGCACATTTGCTTTAAGACATGTTTGTATTTATATTGGCTGAAAAGACACATTGCAATGCACACTGCAACATATGAATGCACAAAAAGCACAAGTAAATGTGCTTTGCAAAACACATAAGTACACAATTTACAGTGCACATTGACGTGTTCTCATGTATTTCCACTTACAGTATTTCCATAGAAAATGCATTTGTCTTAAAACAGAGAGGTGTGAATTCAACACCAACATACAACACACATACTGTATACTATATGCTCTATCTGGGTCCCAATTGTTTCCTTTCCTGCATGCTTTCTGCAACTCAGGTGATGGAATAGTGATACGTGTTCATACATGTTCATACAGTTCACACTCTTTGGGTTCATTTACCTATAATCAACTTGCTAGCAGAATAGGGTAACAGTTGCTTGATTTTTTTTTTAGTGGTTTCCTTTTTAGCACACTGACTACGAGAGGGCAGACTGTTTAAATGGTATGATTACTTGGTTCTAGCTCCACTTCAAGGCCAGGACAAGGGGTGGGCAGGATGGGCAGCCACCCAGGGTGCAGCAGTAGGGGAGGTCATCCCCTCACCTATATAAGCTCCAATTCACTGACTATCAGCCAGTGGGCTGCAGCTTCATGACTGCTCTGACAGCTATTGCTGTCATGCTGTGCTCCAACATACCCTCTCGCCACCCCATCCGCCTATGGCTGACACAAAAACACACCACGCAACTACTTACTAACAAGAGGAAAGCAAGTGACTGGCCATTCAAGGAATGGGCACAAGATGGTACACCCATTCTTCAACATGATTTTGGCGGGGGGGCACAGTTCTGAATTCTTGCCCTGGACACTGGACAAACCTGTCCTGGTACTGGTCCACTTTAACATATTTGGTGGGGGTAGGCTGAACCCTGTGTAAGCACCATGTTAAATGGTGTTGGAGCTTACAGACTTAATGGTCTTCTCCATGTGACAGTGTTCAGTCCTGAGGACTGTCCAGTCAGGCCTATACACTGTACCTTGTTAGAAATGTACCTGGCCACTCATTCCTATAAGCATCAGTTACATGCAGATGACTCTAATGGAGCAAAGGTATACCCATGGAGCATGTCGAATGTGAGTATCAGCCAATGATGGGCTTCCTCTTTTAAGAGAAATGGTATGTTTGCTTATTTAGGGCAACGTGAAGATTTTCTTTTATGTATATAGTATTTGCCAGTAGTTGGCATTCTTCATACTGTAGATGTTACAGAACACTAAAAAACATGTCTTCCCTGTTTTCTCTATTTTTGTTAGAACGACCAACCTTTGTCAGAAAGCCAGTTAACCAGGTTGTTTTGGAAGATGAGATTGTAGAGTTTCGGTGTACAGTCCTCGGAGATCCACAGCCAACTGTCCGATGGAAAAAAGATGATGCTGATTTGCCAAGAGGAAGGTGAGTTTTCAAGACCAGTTTGCTATATCATGTTAAATTGTTTCCTAATTTTAAACACGATGGGTAAAGTAAAAATGGTTCCTGTTTGGTTTAAATCTCTTTAGTATCTATAAGATAAAATCCACCCACTCTCAAGCTAAATCCGCCTAATAGTATTTCCACATGTATATTACTTGAAAACCCATGATAATTAGGTCAGATTGTACAATAATTATCAGTTTAGAGCTCCCACAGGGACACCATTATTCTATACAGAATAGAAAACAGGATTATTACTGGGCATACAATATGTTGGGCAAGATATGCCTTTGGGCCATCATTCTTTGGGAGAGATATCTATCAATGGCCAACCTTAGGCTGGCCATAGACCTAAGCAGGAAAGAGGCCCTTTCATGCACCTGAACACTCTGCTCTGTTGACCATTCAAGTTTATGTCATGAAGAAGAGGGGAGGAAGGAATACACAACCACTTCCATTGTTGAATCATCAGATGGTAGTGATCAGAACAGGTTTTCCAATTGTTCAGTTAAATGTTACTCCTAAGGTTAGGTTGTCAATCACCAGGTCCCAGGTGGTGATTCCCCTCCTCCACCCGGCGATCTCCGAGAATTACCGAAGGGGGAGAGACCTGTGTATAAACAACACAGATCTCTCCCTTGTCAGCTCCTGCACACTGCTTTGTATGGCTCTGCATAGAAGAGCCACACAAAGCAGTGTGCTTACAGTGAAACACAGCACACTTAGTAAAACAGCACACAACACACAGTTAACCCTTTGATTGCCCCAGATGTTAACCCCTTCCTGCCCAGCGCCATTAGTACAATGCTAGTGCTTTTAATTAGCACTGATCACTGTATTGGTGTCACCGGGGATGTCAGTGACACCAACTCAGTTCCCCCCGGTGTCGGAATGCCCGCCATAGTCCCGCAGTCCCACTATAAGTCACTGATCGCCGCCATTACTAGTGAAAAAAGAAAATCCAGTATCTATACCGCCATTTGCAAACACTATAACTTACACATAAACCAATATAATTTATAAATTATATATATATATATATATATATATATATATATTGAAATATATTGAATATGGCCAAATTGTAGCATTTCAATTATATGGCAATATATTTGGGAAGAATATTTTAAAAATATATTTTCAAATATATTTTTCTTCCATATGGGGTGACTGTATCCATGCAGCTGCTGCATCCTGATTGACATGAATGGGACTGCCTGCATGCAACACCTGTGCAACCCGTGCTGACAAACACGGCCCTCACACAGGTGTGCACTTTAGTCTGCCCATAAGAACGAAGCCTAGGTGCATCCAAGGTCAGAACTGGATGGTCAGAAATACAAATCTTTCAGGAGGTAAACCAGCTATTATACATTTCAGCTGTGTATTTAGCTGTTTTCCTGGAGTTCAGCCTTTAAAGAGGAGATTATTACTCGATTTATTGTACAGAACAACCATTATCTTAAGTCTATGCGTAGCAGTGCTCAATAAACTCATTATAATGTGTGAGCGCAGCAATAGCCAACCATCAGACCCAGCATTACGACCTGATGCATTGTCTGGGTTATTTTTCATCATGCCATAGTACATGATATAGTGCAATCCTAGTAGGAGTTCTCTTTCCATATAGTGTCTAATGATCGGATTGCTATAAATGTTGGCTAAGTGGGGGGTTCAGAAAAATTACATGTCTCAGGGGGCAGCTGCATGCTGTAATTACAAAGTATGTAAAACACAATCTTTTCTCTTTCCTCGCTGAAGAGAATTTCAATTACAAGAGGAAACTTAGGACACCGTAATAACTATTTTAACCTTGCATTGAGAGGAAACTCTCACCGCCAGCTCTTCATAAGGGCCTCAGAAAAATTGTACGGGTTCAGCAGGAATGTACAGTCAGGGAAGTCTGTGTGTGGGTCTCCACATAATAAAATTGCAGCCTCTAGTTCTCTGCAGAACTAGAAGATATTTTAGGATTTCACGGCTACATTGAAAAGCAAGAAGTGCCAGGCTGACCACTCACGAGAAATGTTGGCGGGCGCCCTGTACTGTTGTACTAGGAAATGGAAAAGCCTAAATTAAATTTACATTTACAAAAGAGATCTTCTGCTGCTTTTTACAGAACGAGGTTAAGGAAAGAGAGTAATGGGGACATCTTTCTTTAGTACAAATACGTAATTTGATTTCATAGTACAAAGACCTGTATAAGACATACATTTTCTGATACAGTGTAACTGCTGCAGTTTTAAATGGAGAAATAGAATAAAAACAACAACAGCAAACACAATAAAGTTTGCCAAGGCCTTGTAACGTTTATAGTTCATCCTTTTAGATGAACTATAACCATTACAAGGCCTTGGCAAACTTTATTGCAGATTCTTACATGCCTTTGTTCTGTAGATACTAATGTAGTACTTGACGTACCCTTACTGAAACTGGCCATTAAGTTGAGGATTCTATTTTTTATTATAATCAATTGATGAGTTTCAGTGTTGTGATAGGAAATGGAAGCATTTCACCAAAGGCCGAACTACTGCTGCAAGGAATATCTATGAACTGAAAATCAGCACAATGGGCATAACTTAATCAGTAGACTGTGCCGCTTATGCTGATGGCTCTTCTTTTAATTGAGATCCTCCTCCAGCCTGCTTCCCCCACCTGTGCCACTGTAATCTTCCAGTGCAGCGGAGGTTAAATGATATGTTACCCCATTTCGGGAACATTTCATATTCCTTATATGAGTTTGTTGTACCAGTTACTTGAATGAAAACGTATCCTGATCTCTTTGCATTGCTTCCTTTGTGTGAAATACCTGCTTATCCTTCCAGTTCCCCTTCTTTCCTATTTCAAACTGACAATGATACACATGGAAGATCATCCAACCCAGTATGGTCAGTTTTTCTTCTTTATATTCTTCTTGGGAGCACAGCTTGCATGTGTTTCAGTGGTTAGACTTCTCCTGATACCACCCCTGCACAGCTAATCACTGGGAAGATCAGTGTACTGCTGCTTCTCTACCTCCTGCTGACACTCCACCCTGCAGTTTCCACCACCAGATCTCTAAGACTCTTAAGCAACTGAGAACAAAGGTTGCATGATCAATTATTTAATTAAAAAAAAGAATATATATATATATATATATATATATATATTCTCAATTCAACTCTGCACCAGGCCTTAGACTGTTTATGGACTCTCCATCCACCTGCCGGACACTCCCCCCCCCCCCCCCCCCCAGGGATTGGCTGTGTCTCCATATTCAAACTGCTCTTCTATCTTTACTCCCACTGTGATTCAAAAACCCTCTAGAATGCAAGGGTGAATAATCAGACCAGCAGCCTGTGAAACACTGAGCAATCAAGAACTGCTCCACTGACTACAGGGTTGCCAAACTAAATTTACCTAGCATCCTATACCCTAGCTAGCAGGGTGCTACACTCCATTCATAGAAGCTGCAGCACAGGTTCTATGAATGAAGCAACTGGTGTAAAGGGTAGGCATGAAATTGTTATACATAGTATTACGTCTATAAAGTACAATACAGATAATATTATTTTAAAATCATTTGAAGAGTAAGAAGAAAATGACTTTCTAAATCCTGTCTCTGCAATGAAGGAGAAACTAAACTGGGCAAACATAGGAGAGCAGGGAGTGTCTAGCTAGGGAGAGACTGCTTTACGTAGATACAAAACAGTTGAAGGGAACAAAGAAACATACTAAAGGAACAAAGTAAACAGAATACTGTGACGGTACACTCTCTACCTGGTATCACTAGATACCACTATCTAATATATAATGCAATACATAGCAATAACAATAAAACATATATAACTATGTAGGACACAATGCTTCGCTTGGTTTAATTGTTAAATTAGATATGCATTGCAAGTGGTATCTCTGGCAGATAGATTTGTTTTATATGTTTAAAGTGTTATTAAACCCACAACAGTAAAATCAGTCTGTATATTCAGTTAAGCATGCTTGTTATGCTCACTGTGATACCTAAGGGGTTAATCCTCTGCATTGTGTAAAAAGAACTGTTTTATTCTGTCTTCTCTGATCCTCCCCTTCTTTTACTGTCCTCAAATCCATCTCCCATTGTACAGAACAGCAGTGGCAAGTCTGCATGTTTTTGAACTGTCTGGACAGAGGGTCAGGGGTCATGCTGCCTCATAGGACAATCAGAGGGGAATGAAAACTCCTCCTACAAGATTAACCGGTGCTCAGCAAGACACTGATAGAAGTCACAAGACTGCTATATACTGCTAATGAGAAAAGATAGTTTGAATTTACTAAAATAATTGCATTTCCATGTTCTGTGTACTGAGGGAGATCAGATATAGTGAAAACAGGGTCCTGGGTTTAGTAACACTTACAAAATATAATGTAAAGCAAAAATTCTCATTTAGCAGAAACATCATCTACTTTATCATTTGCTGTTAATAAAGATATATATATATATATATATATATATATATAATACAGTATATGTGTGCCTGAGACAGAGTACATTGACTGGTTAAATACATATATAGTTAATCAGTGCAGTCGCCGGAGGTACAGTTCCTTGACCGGTTCTTGAACTGAGTCTCCTGTGACAAAATGTTAAAACATATTAAGATCTTTACCATCAATAAGACGTCACCAAGCAGTAACACACAGTAAAAATGGTGCAGGATCAGATTTATATAGATGGACTATGTGCTGTAGCTTAAGTAAGAACATTAGCATTAAAGGATTGCTTTTCTAGTTGATTCTTTCACCCACCTTCGTTCTGCTAACCAGAGGTGACAGAGTGGTGTGGTATTTTCTGCCAGGAAGGGGTTTTTTTTACATCTCCTTATGGTAAAAACTCTGTCAGATTACAGATATACTGAAATGATTTATTGTAGGGAGGTTTGATCAGCCCTTCTTCTGTATTAAATTCTATAACCTCTAATGTTTTCATTACTGGACTAGGGGTTCTGCTTAACATAGGTTCACAC